CTCACCACTGGACCAATAGGCAGCATCAGGATGGATGGTGAAGAGATTGAGATTGTACACAGCTTTAGTTTGCTTGGCTCCATAGTCAACAGTGTTGGCACCAGCAGCCAGGAAATTAAAAGGCGCATTGCCATGGGAAAGTCTGCTGTTAGGGACCTCTCCAAAGTGCTGAAGAGCAAAATCACTAAGGACAATAAAAAGACTAACACAAAATGTGGTTGATCGTGGTTGTTATATTCTAGTCCTCTGCATAAATGTTTGCAGAAACTACCCCAGTAAGGAGCTCTGGTGGCCTGGTGGTAAGAAGTGCGGCAAACCCGAAGACATGGTTCAAATTCACCAGCTGCTCCCTGGGAGTAGGACGGGCACTCTCCTCCTTGTGATTTCCTTCGTCTGAAAACCCGCTGGAGGCTCACCTATGGGTATGTTCTAACTCAAAGGCACACAGCTACAAACCCAGTTAACCTTCCCAAACTCTCTCAAAAAACAAATTTAGGGCGGAGGGTGAAGGAAATGGGAAAGACCCAGAGTGAAAAACAATGTATTTGAACTTTGTAAATAAACCAGTATAAAATAAGGAAAACAAATTTATTTCATGAAATAGAGTGTAAAAATGTTGACAGTAAATAAATGGGGGAGGGGGATACACCAAAGTTCTAAATCAAAGAGAGACAGATTCCAGAACATCTAGGTTTACATTCAGGCAACCAGTGATGTTACAATCACCAGCAGGTCCATTATTACTAGTGGGTTTCTATCCTGGTCATAGCTCTGATGACCCAGATGGATGGTAAGGAATAGCACTGCAATCCCGAAGGCACATGGTTCAAATCTACCAGCTACTCCATGGGAGAAAGATTGGCAGTCTCCTCCCATACAATTAAACTGCCTCTGAAAACCCACTAGAGGGTCAGCTACGGGTCAGTTCCGATTCAATGGTACACAGCAACAACCACAAAAACATACATATACTAGAAATAAAAGTTTATGGAGATCTGATTCCATATTAACATCCTGAGATCTCTTTAAAAAAAAAAGCATAATATTGGAAAAATCTGAGAACATAATTACAATTCTAGAAAAAAGTCCAGGGGGGGGAAACACAGCAGTCCCAAATGGTTGGTTTTCTTTTGTTCTACTCACAACTATCAAAAAAAGTATCTACGTGTTTTCATTATAATATCTTGAATTAAATGTAACAGTTTATGAAATAATAAAGGATAGGAGACAACAGTTGTGTTGTGGCAGTCTCTGGAGAAAGGCAACTCTGCCTCCTGGAGCCAGGGAAGCCACGCTTGGCCTTGGGTTGAAGGCAGCAGCGGCTTCAAGCCCAAAAGGGCCCTCGGGCCTGTGGCCCTCAAGCCAGTCTTTCATTGTTTTTGTTCAGACATTCCTCTAGGTCGTATAGCCCTGGTGTATAAGTTGCCGTCCCGCGGTCACTTGTGGTTGCTGTGAGGCTGAACACTGTGACACGGATGTGTCAAATGCGTTTATGGTTGGCTACCCAATGTGAACAGAGAGTGGGGTGGAGCTCCCCGATTAAACAAGCGTGGAAGGAGGAGTGGCATCCACTTCCATAATAGCTTGCCTCCGGAAACCCTAT